GGGCTGGGGGAGGGTGGAAAGGGCACGGCCGTGGGCCGGAGCCAAGGGAGGCGGCAGGGGACGTGACTATGGGCGGTATCGGGCGAGAGGAGGGCTACGGAGGGGCGTGGGCTGCAGGTGCAGCATCAGTCAGAGGTGCGGGCGGACGAGTGCATTTTGCTCCGGGGTCTGGCAGGGTCTGACTCTGTGAGGTTGTCAGGGAGGAGATCTGGGCTTTGTGGGACCGAGAAAGGCCTTGGACCGTGTGTGCCGCATGGAGGGAGGGTTGGCATCCCCACTGGGCGTGTATAGCTGGTGTCACTGGCATGAAACTTGATGTCCCCTGCTTGGGCTGTCACTTCTTGTGTCGGGGGCTAAGCGCTCCCCCGCGCTGCTCTGCGCAGCGGGCCGTGCTCTTTGGCTTTGGTGCCATGTACAGGCCGTGCCATGCAATTCACACTCGAGTCATCCTGGTAGCTGTAAAATGCTCTTTAGCTCTGGGCGTGAAGGGTGCTCTTTTGCTCCCAGCTCTCACTTGAGCCTATTCAGTTATTGGTTTGCAACACGGCTGGAGTAACTCTTGATCTCATTTCTCCTCACCAGAATAGGTGCATGTCCTCCTAAAAAGCTGCAAAAATGTGCCCCCAGTTTTACAAGTAGGGACCAATTTGCTAACACAGATTTTTCCAAATACTGATGGCTGTCTGATAACTTTTCAACAATAGAATGGATAGGAGTGGTACCCCTGTGTGATAGGCCACAGGATTTCAGACTTAGTAGCATCTGCTTATTAGGTTGCTTTGCGTTTCTGCATAACTTTTACTTTCTTGTCAGCAAATAGTGTTCTACAGCCAATAGCCCAGTTTAAAACATGGTATTTAGGAATGCCTGTGTATCTTGCACAGCATATGGAGGGAGGATCCTTCAGGATTTCCTGGGGGAAAGTTTATACAGTTGAAAAAGGAAGTTTGTGTATATCCATCTAATCTTTTTATACTAATTTTCTCCATTGTTTCCTAAACTCCATTTATTGTGTTTTCTGAAAAAAAGAAAGCATTCTCAAAATATTGGCTTGTTGAATTTGATTGCTATGTTATGGTAATGTGTAATGTTTCCAAGATCAGTATTTATGCAATTTATTGCTTAAATTTGTTATTGATCTGTTTTATGTTTTCCTGTTTAGGTGAAATTTGATAGTGGAGTATTACTGCTTAGTACCCACAGACTAATCTGGAGGGATCAGAAGAATCATGTAAGTCCCACTTTTGTCTCTTTTATGTCATTCCATTATAAATCCCATAATAAAAAAAAAGGTAGCTTGCAGTGAAAAGGCTGCACACAGATTTTCCTTTCTTTTGTGTGTGTTTCGTCTTACAAGTTTAGTCCATTTTTTCGCTCATAATGGAAAGTTATGTACAAGGAATGTTCTCTCACCCAATTCTGCTTTAATAAATGATCATGCAAAGTTGAGGAAGGATGAGAATGAATCATATGAATTTTCCTTTTCTGTGGCACAGAAATGGAGGAGAAAAGAGTCTGGTATCGTGCACTAAAAACAGTTGGTTTTGAGGCAAGTTGAATGTGTCAGGCAAATCATAATGTGAAGTCCTCTCCCATGCTCCTTGTCTAGTGAGACCTTTTCTTCCTCACTGTGTTTTCAAGTCCCAAGTTTCCCTGTCATCTGCTCACAGAATGTAATCCCAGACCATGATTTGCTAATAGAATGTGTTTGTGGCAGTATTATTTTGTACAGGTTTTACCGTCCCAACTGCATGTTCTTGTGCTGAACCACCCCTTCAGTAAGCCAAAATATTTGTACTGCTCTGGTGAATTAATTCAAGGGTTAAGTGGCAGTGATATTGCTGCTGAAAGCTTCCTGTCATCAAACCACACCCTGAGATTGTGGGCTAGAAATGGGAGGGAAAGACTACAAACACATACGAAGCTCTAAGCACAGACTGTGACAAGGTGCACCACTTTGCAGCTGCAATTGATGGAGAAGTCCTCCTCAGAACAAAGTTGGATTATGCTTGTTTTGGACACAATCTTTTAGAAATTTAGCCTTGGAAGCCAAAGTTTAGAGCATGTTCAAATGACAACTTTTCAAAGGCCTATTATATTCCACTGGACTAGCTTTGCATAAGGATAGGTGAAGCACCTCTTGTAACCAAAGGCCATTCCCTACCAAATAGCATGTTCTTGCTCCAAAACAGAGAGCTACCAAAAGGTAAGGTCACCAAGGATGTTATTAATTTGGCAAAACAATATGGGGTTTTTCTAGGGATTGTTTGCAGGAACAGCAGAACTATTTTTAGTACAAATTTTTCAAAATGTTTTGAGAGCTGGTCCTCAGGGTGGGGTTACTGTTAAACAAGTCAGGGGCTGATTGTCTAAACCATGAGCTATTCTATAGAAATTAACTTTGGTTTTGGCACAGTCAGCATAAGATAATTTAGCTGTGCTAAAATATCTGTGTTAATTACTTTTTATTTCTTCATCAGCACCTCTTCTTGAGAGGTGGGTATGTACTGCAATATGCACTGCTTCTAATCTTCTTACTTAGACTTTCTGCTTGCTTGGAGTAACATTAAGCATCATGGTTTATCACGTCTTATGTCCATATCTGTGTTCTGTCCTTCCCAACAGAAGGATGACATTTGTCTCTTTCCCATGACTTCTTCCCCTGCTCCTAGGCCACATGCTTTCTTGTACTCTTCCAAGATCATTGAATTTGTTAAATCAGCAGAGAAGAACCTTGGAGAATAAGAAAAAGAGTTTTATTTTAACACATTAATTTAACTCAGCAAAGATTCTGACAAGCTTCAGGCTTGATTAACGGAAGGGACAGAAACATGTGGCCAGGAGATTGGCAAAAATTACCCAGTTCTGATCAGGGGGATATCAATATAAGTAACTTTGTTAGTGTAGTAAATAAAGCTGATTCTTTTCCAAGCTGTTCGGACTGAAACATGGGGAGTACAGTGCCTTTTGCATTTTCATAGTGAGTTGTTGGCTAAGCTCAACGGTGACGTAACATCAGCCTTAGAAACTTTAGTAAGATTACCTAGAACAAACTTGTAAAGAGAGTCCCCTTTCATTGTGTCAGCAAACTTTAGTAATAAACGGAGCACTTGTCATTAGGTTAATGTAGCAAACCTTTTTACAAAAACAGACATCTGTGTTTTACAACTGCTGTTGTTACATACATCTGCAGTTGAACAGTATAGAAAACAGATATTTCCAAAGGGAAAAAAAATTCTTTTAAGTTTGTTACATAGGTAGATTTTTAGAACATCTTAAATTGTAAAATCATGCATAATGTGAGCATGAGACATTAGGAAAAAATACCCAAATAAACTTTCAACATTTTTAACACACCTTTCTTTTTGTATCCTTTCCTCTTGCTTCTCTCACAAGGGGTGATTCTAAGTCCTTGTGCTTACTAAGTTCGTAACTTTCTGGCTGTGAGCTAAATGAATCAGTCATTTTGGCAGTGTACATACTATATATAGTTGGACTCTTTTGTCATTTTCAAAACCTTTTTTTAACAGAAGTATCGCTTTGTCTATATTTAAAGTGTCTAAAGCTATGTGGGGATTTTACAAACAGTAACTGTTCTGTGTCATGGCTGTAGAATCTGGAGCCCTAGATGAAATCTCAATAGCTTGTATTAAGCATTTTTAGAACAGGAAGTACAATCCATGTCTTTTTCCCAATGAGAAATTTACTGATTAGTCAGAGTTCCTGCATGTATACTTTCCTAATCTCCATGAGTATTTAATTATTCCATGCAAAGATGAAAAATTCTGGTAGAAGGGATTGAAAAGGCCCCCTAACAGTGTTCATTGTACCCTGGTGTTAGGGGCACCCTTGTGGCAGATGGAAGAGAGAGGTTCAAAGAGGGAGTGTAACCTGTGTTTCTTGTATTCTGGGTGACTGTGTCAGCCACAGGGGTATTGTGTGGAAGACAGTGTTCACTAAAGGATATTCACTAAAACAAGACCAGGTACCTAATTAGATGCTTTGAATTGCTCCCTTGAGCAATTTCTGTCTAAAATGCATGTAGAAAGGATTTAGCCTGGGTAGGTTAGTCTCCCACAGATGGATACAGTCTTGATTTTTACTCTGCTTTGTTTTGTCTAAAGCACAGTCCAGTGAATTTGTGTGGAGATGCATCAACTGCTGGATTAAGTCCTTGGGTGTGGGATACATGGAGAAATTCCTGTTTCACTCTGAGGATAGTCTGGTATTTCAAATGTTCAAACACTCAAGACTGGTGGTTTTGGATATTGTTTTAGCTTTCAAAGCAACATCAATGCAAAAATGTTAAAAACCTATGAGCATTGTTCATCTACAGGGATAAGATGTAGTAGTGTGGAAATTTTAGTGTTTAAATTTTGAATTTAGATACTAAAATTTGTTAAATTCCTGAGTTCTTCTATGAAACTAGCTTGAAGTGTCTAAAGTTGAACAACTGACACTTAAGTTTGGGTTTTTTTGATAATCTAGAAATCAGTTTCAACTTTGTATTAAGTTTTCCACTCATATTTTTCTTTAATAGATGGTTTCTATTGTTATAATACCATCATATTTCATATGGAGTGCGTCAGGGAACACCCGTGGAAATCCATATGTTTTGTGAAATGAGGAAAGAGACTGCACTTGGTTTTAGAGAATGGATTGTCAGGATATGGCTTTAACTTCACTTGTGTTTGCATTGATTATTCCAGGAGTGCTGCATTGCTATACCTCTGTCTCAGATTGTCTTTATTGAAGAGCAAGCAGCTGGGATAGGAAAAAGGTAAGGTGATAGTCATTGTCTTTTTCAGATGGTTAGTTTGCCTATGCATGTTATGTGAGGTGCCCAAGATTATATGTTAATTTATGGTAGGTTCCATTTGCAGTCCATGTTCCAAGATTGACAGCTACAAGGACCTGCTTTCCTCACTTGAGGTCCAACGTGTAAGAGAGTCATGACAAAGCAGTGTTTGATGTGATTTGTTAAATAACTGTCTTGTAATTACTAAACAAGGATGTGTTCAGTTTGCCATTTTCATTTGATTAGTCATAAATTACAACAGTGATTTTGCTGGATCTGAACTTGAAAGCTAATTTTAGTCTTTTGTGCTGCAGAACTGGTTGAGGATAGAAACTCTGCCAGATCCTGTATTATACAACTTTCCATGACCATGTGATTGATTTTGAACTTGGAAATGCTAGCGACAGTTAGAAGGAGCTCAAGTGTTTCCACTCACTTGAAAAACGAATTCAGTATAGTATAAGTATAAAGAAGTTTCACAAGGAAAAAAAAAATCAACTGGAGAAATACATAGGTAGTTGACATCTGCTTGCAGCCTACAGTCAGATGGGTAAGGTATAATATGCTGGGAGTATCAAGAAAAATCAGGTAATTCACTATTGCTGGAGAAGTCAACTGAGTAAAAATCCATGAAAGGGGAATGGCAAACTTGCAGTCATGCTGTGATAGCAGTCTGTTATGTTTCTAAAATACTGCTATCTCAAGGTTTGTTTTGGTCATAGGTGTCATTTTAGACTTTTATTTCCATGCATGGTACCTTTGAATGTTGGTTTTGGACAAATACACATACAGTGTTTGCAAGTGACATATACAAGTGGCTTAGATTAAACATCATATTGAGACCTTTTGTTTTCCTGTGACAAAGACAGTGTATTTTGGCAGTAGTTATTCAAAGTCAAAAGCCAAATCAAATGACTACTTGACTGTTATTTTTTTATCTTAACTAAAAGCTTTTTCAGAAATTATTGCTTGAAATATTAACATTTATTATGTTTATTTCTTAAGGAAATCATGATGGGTACATTTTAAAATTGTGAGATGTTGCTGTTTTAGAATTTATAGTAGTTTTTATGCAAGCTCTAATATAATATAGAGTGAAAATACCTAAATATTGATGCACAAATGTAAAACATTATTTAATGTACTTTAGCTCTTAGTTGATATAAAGTTAATAGAGATTTTGATTAAATGGTTAGCTTTGTAGAAATAATTTTTTTTTAGATATTACAGAAAGCTGCCTCTTCACTTTAACTTTTTCTTAGTGCCAAAATAGTAGCTCATCTTCATCCTGCTTCTTCAAACAAAGAGCCTGGTCCATTCCAAAGCAGCAAATATTCCTACGTCAAACTTTCTTTCAAAGAGCATGGGCAGATTGAGGTAAGTTTTGTACTATGCAAGCCCATCACATCAGATCTTTGGACGTGTTTTTCTTCCTCTTGCTGCGTTAGGGATAATTTTCCATGATCTTTTCATGTTTACTTTTGAGGTGGAGCTTTTTCAATACATCCTTTTTGAAGACAAACACTATGAGCTTTCAGGGTTCTATTCTTTGGTTAAATAATGCAAATGGAGTTCCAAAAATGTCAAGAGGCATTACTAGGCTTTGTCCTTATTTTAGTACTTTAATATATTCTTATACTTCCTTTTTTTTAATCTTTTAAATTGAACACAGGATTTTCTAAAATGACGTCTCTGAAATCTGTTAAATGTTTAACAGAGTAGAAGACATTTCTTTGTAGCTAACCCTCTACTGAACAGGAATCAAGCAACTTATTCCTTAGTCATCTCTCTCATGTTATTGCTGAACACATTTTGTTGTTTCAGAGATTTGTTTCATTTTATGTTTTATAAATCTTTATGTTTTTTACCTACACCAAATGTCAACGGCTTTGAGCATTCTGAAAAAAAAAAATTTTACAAGAAGGCCTATGCTAAAAAAACCAAAGAAATTGCACTCTGTAAAGAAATTTCATAGTATAAGACTCTCACTTAAAGAGACTGAGAACTTTATATTTGAACAACGAAAAAAGCTGTATCTATTCACTGCAGAAAATCAGATTTTTCAACTTGAATTAGTTATATAAGACTTATAAATGATGTGCTTGATCAGACTCACTTTCATTTCTTTATGAGCAGTTTTCATCTTAGAGTGAGTGTAGATTTATGCCAAGTTGTTGCAGTTGTTTTGCCTAACCATAACCTTAATTATTTGAATGTTCACATCTGAAAATCAAAGTTACTATGCTTATTCATTATTGGGCATATCAATTACACTCCAGATATTTTCTTTATGACTTCACAATGCTTGTGAACTCTGAACAGCCATAAGAATGGAGTAGATTTTCTCTCTGGATTTTGATCAGTGGAATACACCTACTGTTAACTAATTAACTAATGCCACGTTCTGGTATTGACAGTAAATAAGTGCAATTGATCTATGTGTTTGTCTTTATATTGTTAATTAACAGCTCAAGAGTAATTGGATTGTTCGTTTCCTTCCTTTTAAAAGCATGCTTTTGAGCAAACCTCAACGTTTTTACTTTAGCATGTTTGGGAACATTTTGAATATCTGAAAAAAATGGTTTATGATAGAAGTACTCATGCAAATTTAAATAGTAACTACATAGCTCCTCTTCTAGTGTGTATATTTCTGAAGACTGAGCATTAAGAATTTCCAGATGATGAATGTTATACTGTGGATGTGTAGATGTTACCATGTGGATGTGTAGATATTACCATGTTTTGTCTTTACAGTGAAGCTTTTTTCATCTACCACCAAGATGCTAAAAATACCAAGAGGTACTCTGCAGAGTTTATGAAATGTTTGTTGTCACCTTTAATGTTTGCAGTTCTATAGACGATTATCAGAAGAAATCACACAAAGGAGATGGGAGAACATGCCTACTGGTCAGACTATTCAAGTTAACAAGGATCCACAGGTATGTGCAGAGTTTCTGAGCAGAATCTGTATGTAATGTCTTGTTTCCACTTCTTGCTGCCCCCATATACTGCATCTGGCATGCCTCTCTAACGAACACTATGGGTACATGGGGGAACTCAGCTTTACTTTGCCTGTTTCTTCACTGGCATAAATGCATTTCTCCTTTGTAGTTTTCACCCAGTACAGAGCACTGTGGCCTCTTCATTGAGTGGGTTTAGACTTGATAATGAGCTCCGTGTTATTTATATAGTCAGACACAGACACACTATTATGCAAAAATTATATATATTTGCATATAATTTTATTCAACATGAGAGATCTAATGAACCTGAAAGACTTTTGTTCTTAATTGTGATTTCTGTTTCATTTTTTATGTCTGGAAGTCAAATATATACTATGCAACTTTTATATAACTCTTTGGAACCTATATATGTTTGATTTAAATGTATATTCTAAATGGAGGTTGTTGTGGAGTTGTTATGGAGTATCTCTTTGTCATATGTCAGATTACTGACTTTATCTGTGTGCATACTTCTAGGTTATAAACTCTGACAAACATGTAGATTTTTATGTATACAAATATGTTGAATATATTAATATATTGAACATACAGTATTATATGAATGAAATAGGATGATTTGAAGATTGTTAAACATCAAATCAGATATGTCCTCCTTTGTAAATGTATTATCTATAAACATTGTTGTATTTGGACTAAGGGGGAGTCCTGAAGCCTCAAGAGTTACTTGATGAAAATGTCTTACCTCCTTATTCTTAAATCATAGGAAATAATTAACACCAGTGCTAAGCTTTGCAGTCAGAGATTTGAGGGTTCGCCATCACCTCCATTCTCATACTTCTCAGCAGGGTAAATAAGACTGCACTTAGCATTGTGTTTCTGAGGCTATATTTATTCAGGCTAGATTACTTGAGGTAATCATGTTCAGATACACTCACCATTTCCAGAGTTCTAGTATAGATGTTCACATGGACTTTGGAAGGCTTTAATTAAGATGAGCTGGAATGCTCAGACTGGATCAGGCCATTAAGCATCTTCATATTAATAGCGTCAGTATAATTATTTTATTATCTGTCTACTACAACAAATTCCCACATGCTTTACACTTAATGTTTATTTTTTTACACTGGTTTAAAAAATACTTTCAAAAAATATATGAAATATTGTATGTATGGTATCAGCTCTTTGGGGGAATGTTTCCTGTCTTCCAATGTTAAGGTTTTTCACGGTGCAGCGGATGAGAAAACTTAGCATTTCCTATTTTGATTCCTTTCATTATTTTCTTTTGCAGGCAGGAAGAATAAGGGCTGTAGGAATTGTAGGGATCGAAAGGAAGTTAGAGGAAAAAAGAAAAGAGACTGACAAAAACATTTCCGAGGTAAATACTACTAAAGTTTCAAGGTCAACCACCTGTCTGAGCCATTTCTGTTCATTCACGCTTTCTTTAAGGGGCAGCTTGGTTTTGTTGAGAAGTCTGAACTGATTAAGAGTATGTAATTTACAGTTATTTACTTTGTTTAACTGGCTTTTCAGTATATGTAAAGGTACTTCCTCTAAACAGTTCCTTTCAAGAAGACTGTTCTCTGAAACTAATGGTGTGTATTTACAGAATCAATTTTGGTAGAATTAGAAATCTGAGTTCAGCAGCTTTTCATCAAGGGAAACAGAACACAAAGGCATAAGCAGAGAGAAACTGTCACAAGTTGGGTTTTTTTCCTTTTTTTTACAGCTAATTTTGGTTTCAATTGAAAATTTAATATATAGTAAAAAGAATACACTGATCTAAGTGTCTGCACATAATTCTGGTGAAGTTAGGTTTTCATCTTATAATACTCATGTTAGATTTAGGCTTATAATTACAGTAAAATGTTCTGCAGTCCAGGTATTGGCAAGATGTTAGAAGTATCTTTGCAAAATACCTGGGCTAGAGACAATCCTTTTCCCCAGAAAAGCACAATAGTTGAATTCCATATATCCATACTGATGGACAACAGAGACGGTTAATTTCTTCATTAAGTACCTGGGAGCAATAGCGTGAAAAATAGTCTGGTTCTCTCTTGGTAGTAGAGATTTACACAGAAGTACTGATGAACTACATGCAACAGATTTGTTCTTGTGGCAAAGCTTTATGCAATTCATCGTGCCACAATAAAAAAGACATTCACTGCTCTGATACATAAGAAAATTATAGTACCTTTGCAAGCTGCACGTTGTTTCAGATACCAGATACTTTCTGTTTATGAGGAACATAATGAATGAAGTTCTGCTTGTAGTTCAAAAAGTATTGTGATTACATACATGTGTACATAGTTCAAAAGGTATTGTCTGGTTATTTTTTCCCTTAGTAGCTTTGTCAGAGAGTGAAAGAAAGCCATTTATACATGTTGTATGAACGGAGGAAAACCATGACTTGTAAAATCCTGCCTTCCTCCAGCTTTAAATGTTATAAATGACTTAATTTAAAAAATAGTGCTCTGGCTTCCAGGAAAAGGCTTCCTGCATCTGCTGTTCACTGCTGATAAGAATCCAGTTCTTTAGCCTTTTGTTTATCTGAGGAAGTTCCTGTTAGGTGTGTGCACATTCCCCTTTGTTTCCAGGCATGCCCTCCGTGAGTCAAGCAGAGGAGGAGTTAGACTCAGAATGCTGTTTATTTAGCTAAATCAAGGGTTCTTTTGATGAATGATGTTTTCATGCAGGTTATAGAGATTAGAAATAAACTGGGAAAAGCCTTGTTAGAAAACGTTTTGTTGATATCATATACAAGTACAGTAGAAGGACTTTGATTTACACTAGAGATTGGGAAATCTATTGTAAATTACTGATTTGGCAGATAAGGAAGGAGAAAGAAATATTCCAAAGAGGAGCTCTTGTTCCGATAGTGGTATATTATTGTTATACGGTGGTATATTTTCTTTTCTTCCCTTGGACCTAGCTTTGTCCATTTAATTTTGGATACCTAATTTAGGTACCAAGTGTTAAGAGGCTAGACTTCTCTAGTTAGTGGAGAAACACAGGCACGGTTAGGAAGGATTCAGATGAAAAGCAAACCTTGTTCTTTCCTGGAGGCATCTCTTTCTCTTCTTGGCATGTTGAATCTCAGACCAATAAGCTTCTATGTAAGGTGCCTAGATGTAGGTGGGAGCAATTGGGTCTTCCTGTGCAGATTCTGCTAAAATGTGTCTTTCTAGTAGGGGGTTAGTCAGAATAAGCTAGGAATCACATAGAAGCAATGGCCAGAAGCTGTAGGCAAGCTGTACCTCTCAGCATTTGACATGCTAACTGAACAGCCTTCTTTACTTGTAGCTGGAGGGATTGGGTGCTGCCATCAGGCAAACTTTAGCTGAAAAGGTTCAGGAATTTTTCTCATATCTGTTCAAAAAAAGGCTGTCTGAAAAGGCTGACCATCTGGACATGTCATATGTTTGAGAGAAGTGGATTGAGAAGGTTGAATATGTGTTGCTGAGGATGGGAGAAAGAAGAGTTGCTTTTTAATGTAGTTGCAAACATTTAAAATTTTTTTTTTAATGCTAGTTGGTTATCATTACTAAAACTTTTGAATTTCAGTATACCTTCAGCTTTTTAAAAAGTTTTATTTAAACCTAAAAATGCCCTTTGTGGGTTGTTGTAGAATTGTATTTGAGAACGTAGCAGTTCACTAAGCTTAACAGTCTTGATAGAATTGTTTGTGGTCCTATGATGGATGTACAGTTTATTATTTTTTTTTTGTGGAAACAAGGTTTCTTAGACTAGAAAAAAATAGTTTTGTATGAATAATTTTTTTCCTTGCACTAGCAAGTATTTTGGTTTTTAGGTCCAACAACTAGAGTTTCAGAGGGTGCTTTTTATTTTGCTTTAATTTATTTAAATCTGATAATTTGTCTTTTACACCTTATTTCATTCATTTTTTAACTGGGTTTTTTTTGTTTATTATGGTAGTGCCACTGTTCCTATGTATGCAATACTTAAAAGAAGGTTTTAAGTGGACTGTCTCTTCAGTTAAATGGAGGTTTTTGTCTCTTCAGTTACATATTCATGTGAAAGCATATACCCTCTTTCTTGTTATTTGCAGTGCCGTTTCTTACTAACTTTGTCACATCTACTGGTTATAGTAAAATTATTTTGTCAGGAGGAGTACTTTTGTAGCTTTACAGCTGGCTTGCTGCTGTTCAGAAACAATAGAACTTTAGTGAGGGTTAAATGTTGGAAGAAAACCTACCATCACCACCAAGAAACCTTCCCCCATCTTTTAGGAGAGCATAATAAACTTGGACAGTTTAATCTTTTCTGGGCCTCAGTATCTCATTGTTCCTTCCTATCATGTGGACTTCATAAATCATATTGAATTAGTGTTCACATACTAAAGTGTGTGATTGTTTTCTTCATTCTTTGTTGTTTATGGATTGTATAATTTTAAGGCCTGACATAAAATAGATATATCAACCAAGTATATATAATATCTCACTGTAGCATACTAGTCTGAAGGGATAGCCGCTTTTACATAGCTTGGATAGGTGAACAGAGGCAGCTCACTGTATCCATGAAGCCAAAGGCTCTAATTATACTGATCTACAATGTTTGCTTTTGATTTCAGGCTTTTGAGGATCTTAGCAAACTGATGGAGAAGGTATGGCATGTGTCACTTATCCAAGTAGACTTACACTTATTTTCTTAGTTTTAAGCATATTTTTCTCTGTTGAGCTGAAAGTTGACTTATCTTTGTGTCTTTCTTGATAGGCTAAGGAAATGGTGGAGTTATCTAAGTCAATAGCTAATAAGATTAAAGAAAAACAAGGTGACATCACTGAGGATGAGGTAAATGAATTCTGTTTTTAAAGTCAACAGAAACGTTCCTATGAAAAGGAAAAACCTATCTGTTTAATACATGTAATGTTAATAAAGAACACTTCATGGTTGGGTTTTTTTGTGTTTTAATTCTACATAGATTAAAAGTGACTTATTTAGGGTTAGCTTTTCTTTTGACCCTGTCTTAAAAGCAAAGATTTTACTGCTTTTGTGTAAATTTTTGTATTTTGACCTCATACATGTCAAAATTAAATTGTATTAAGTCTTGCCTTCTCTTCACTAGTTAATTTACGTTATTGGTAGCAAACTGAATGGATTTATTCACCAAAACTGTCTTACAGTAATTAAAGACTTTTAAACCCCAGAATCATTCACTAGCTGATGTACTTTTAAATTTATTTATTTATTTGTTTAGACTATTAGGTTCAAGTCTTATCTCCTAAGTATGGGCATAGCTAATCCAGTTACTAGGGAAACCTACGGATCTGGTACACATTACCACATGCAACTGGCAAAGCAACTCGCTGGAATACTGCAGACACCATTAGAGGTAAAGTACCTAATTTTGCACCTGCATTTTCTGTGTGTTGCTGAATTTTGAGGTAAATGTGTTTTGGCTGTAGTACTGTGCCTCTTTTTAAAGTCTCAGATTTAGCAGCACAGCCTCATATTCAGTGTTAAATATAAGTAAGAATTTTACATTGGAGTAATGGCATCTCAACTTCTAATTTGTGAGATATCAGTGATATTTAGAAAAATCATACTAGCAGTCTTTTTTCTATTTGAACAGCCCTTTATTTATCCTTTGCTGCAGAATATTATTTTTTAAAGAAAAAGTGAAACAGCACTGACTTTGAAAATATAAGTAGTCAGTCTTTAAGCTGCTTAAAAATTATATATTTGGTAAATATAGCATAGAGTTATTACATAGATAACCCACCTTAGTTGTATCTCATATTTACATTTATCTGAAGCTATTAAAGAATTCAGGATTCTCACCAAAAAGTTAGATCTCATGTTGCAACTTACATGTGCTTTCCTAGTAGACACATAGCCTTATATTACAATATTTTTGTGAAAGCTGCATGCTACCTACTATGATTGGAATGGAAAATGGAGTGTGTCTGAAAAGTAAAAATGGTAAATTGATTGCTAAATTTAGTATATTCAAATTCCTTGTTCCTGTGGTGTATTCTCCGCTTTAAAATCAAAGTAATTCAGAGTCCTTGGATGTAGTATCAGTGTTCTGCATTTCACAATGATTAGAGAAAGATATAATACAACTTCCCTCTCATGCTAGAAATATGTGGTATTGCCTGGGTAGTTTTTTTACTTAAAGCTCATCATTTAGCTCCTCTGTTTTACTTGTTTAATTGGTCAAGTGCAAGTTGAGATACCGTGTTTACTAGATTAATGCTATTTCTCTTACCAGTCTTGTGCTTAACACAGGAGCGAGGAGGGATCATGTCACTCACAGAAGTGTACTGTCTGGTAAATCGCGCCCGAGGATTAGAGGTGAGAAATTGGTTTTATTAAGTATTTTATAAAATGTACTTCATTGATAAGGTAATGAAAAAAAAGGGTAAAAATGTTCCCTACCAATTGCTCACCCTACCTGTCCAAGCGCATGAGGTGATCAACCCTTTATTAAAGTTAGGGCTTTTACCTTTTTCTTTTCTCCTTCTTCATGTAACGTTTATGTATCTTCTGTGAGTTGTCATTATGTATGCTGCTTTTTATGATGCCATACAAAAGGGAAAATCCATTCTTATCTGGAAAGGAAACTGAAAGGATACACAATACTAAAGAATGGTGAATGTGTTTTTTTAAAAAATACATAAATTCTTTCGGTAAACAAGGCAAAAAGTATTATAGAATGCATAGTAAAGGAACAGAAAACATAGAAGCCAAGAAAATAGATGGCACAATAGCAAGGAAGAAAATTAACAATATTTTGCAGGCTGTTGTATTTTATAGCTGTAGTTACTAAAACTGTTTTGGTGTTATGCTGTATACTTGAAATATAAGCTGTGAATAAATATGTTTTACTATTTTAATAGTTGCTGTCACCAGAAGATTTAGTAAATGCTTGTAAGATGCTGGAGTCACTGAAATTACCACTCAGGTAAGACCTTTACAGATGTTTTTATAAAACATGGCACTCGCAAGTCAGACCATGGTGCTTGGATGACTTAATATTTTACCTGCAGTAGATGTTTTTGGTTTTTTAAATGGAGTCATCCTTTGGTTAAAGGGTGTTGCTGTATGCACCAACATCCACTCTACATTAAAATATGAATTTTTAACCATGGTTCACTTTGCTAGGAAGACAATATTATTTTCACTTCCAATAGAGTTTCTTCAGACTGGGAAAAGTGTTTAACTAAGCACAGACTTATGCCCTGCTCTTTTCAGTCTCTTCAGATTTTGAAGATGCTTTTAACGTTAGGTTCATCTCGCAGAGCATTTTTTTTTTTCCTTTTGTAATGTGGTTATAAGTGTGGATGCATTAGAAATGTGACCATAGGTGATGTGCACAGGGTTTTTAGTTACTTTGACTCTTTCTTTTGATTTTAGGCTACGGATATTTGACAGTGGTGTGATGGTGATTGAACTCCAGTCTCATAATGAAGAGGAAATGGTAGCTTCTGCTTTAGAGACAGTAAGTGTACTTCATTTCCTTCAGTGTTCTGACTGTGCTGTGGAAATTTAAACACATTAGGTATAAAAACTTGAGGTACAGGATTTCCTTTTGAAGTTTTGAAATACAAAATATTCCACTTCCAAATCTTCTAACAGTAATACTTAAATAGCACTTTTCATCTTCAAAGTGCTGTGCAGGCAATAATTGTAGTCATTGCTTTCTCCTTAAGGAATAAATCACTTTTCCATCTCTTTTCAAACTTCATTAACCTTCAACCTTCTTCCAAACCTTTTGCGCTGTAGGATGAAATTCATGGCATGTATTAAGCACTTAATTTAACAGAAGTGGACTTCACACACTGTACACGTTGTGCTTGAAGGCAGTGAAAGTAGCTTTTAAATGTTGATATAGATGGTTGTTTGGTTTGGGTTTATTTCATAAAATAGCACATTGTATGTGTAACATCTTGCATCTTGTACGCAGATTGCTGCCATGAGGTGTGTTCAGTTGGAAAGCAGTGTGTATAGAATTAAGCTAGCTTCATCAGGAAAAAAAAAAGTATAAATTGCTCAGTGTGGTAAACCTTCATGGTCTTGCTACCTCTGGACTCTTTAAACTCCTGCTATCCCAGTATTTGATGAATTTTCCTGTGTCTTTTTCAGTGGGATGTACTTTTTGTTTTTCATAAAGCTGATTCAGTGTATCCAAAGTTAAACATCAGAGTCAAAGAGGACTTTGACTTGGACAGTCAAGAAAAAGTAGAGCTACCCCAGACACCTCACATGAGTTAGAGATCCATGGGTTAGACTCTTCAGTGCACTTTACATGATTGTTACCACATAGCTTTCTTTCATCAAAAAGATTTTTAGATAAATGTATATAGCTGTCTAAAAGATTCCAGCCTAAACTGTCAGAACTAAAATACTTAAATATTTCAATATATGTTAATCTTTTCAGTTTATTTTCTTATATTTACAGAAAAATACGTAGTCCGTTTTACCTTTTTTCCTGATAATTTTTGGTTTCTAATTAATTTGTTGCCTTCAGTAAGAGTGCTTATCTCTTTGAGAAGAAAGGAAAAACCTTTTCTTGATAACAAATCAGGTCAACTGCAAAAAGCAACAGATAGTGGATTTATTACCAAAATGCCTTTTTTCTTTTATTTTTGTAATATGAGACTTTGACTCCATAGAAAAATGTAAGAGGGAGGCTTTGAATGAAGAAGGCTAGCCCATAAGGGAAAGGGAAGGTGAGATCAGACTTGAGGCCAAAAGCACCCTGTACTTAATGTATAATGTACAGTAACATGAGACTTCTGAGAAGAAGTGAAAGGAAGTCACAGAATTTCAAACAGGGCAGAGATGTGGTTTTGAAGGGCTGATGAAGACGGGAAATGACATGGAAGTCAAAGGAACCCAAAGTCACCCTTGATGAGAGGAGTGGTTTGGGAGGGAAAGATAATTAATCACCCGTATGCATATTAGACTGTATAGCTGACTTCCATTACTCAGATTTGATCACTTATCTTCAAGTTAGAACTAAGTTAATCTGAGTTTCTGTAAAAAGACTGCAGCTGAGAATGATGCATAACAGACCCCTCCCCACCCAGTTATGTGGGAAGCAGGAAATGGCAACTGCATCTGGATTTACACATTTGCTTGAATCTGAAGTGATGGAGAAATAGAAGAATTAATAACGCTTAGGATGATAAAACTTATTTATCTGGAAAATTCAATGCAGTAATAAGTTTAGACTTCATATCTGATATTTTAAACATCCAAATGTCCAACCTGTGTGAGAAGGTTTTATTTTAGCTTGTACTAACTAGCGTCATTGAGACAATGGGGCCAAAGTTTTGAGTCCCAAGACTGAACCTATCTTTTTTTGTCAATTGAAAGGTGATTGTGGCTTTTATTGATCTCTCTACTATGCTGCAATATAGGGTGGGGATTTTTCTATAGGCAGCGGGGATATTTTAAGTCCCAATAAATTCAAATTCTCCACTTCCATCTGAGATGATTTAATTTCTAAATTGATGACCTGCCCTGAACAGGTCTTTTATTTCCTCGATTAGGCTTCACTGTTTATAGAATCTCTTAGTATCATTGGGCTGTGTAAATACTGCTTGTGACAGCATACTGCTGTCTGAGCTGTTCTAATTTTTTGGCCCATTTTGTCCCACAGCATCTTTTAAAAAAATCCAAAGAAAAAGGGTACCATGTGATTTTTTTACAGATTTAACTCTTGCTACGTTCCTTTTTTATACTTGGCAATATTCCCAGGACACAGAAGAGGTATTTTTAAGGGGAAAGACTCATAATTATTTGCACCTTTTAAAATACAAACAAACTAGTTGTCTTCACAGGGTATTTGCTACCAATTTATTATTTCACAAGGCTAGACCTGATTCCGTAGCTGAGAGTACTTCATTGTTCTTCTAATGCCATGGTTTGTTTATTTGTGTATTTGGTTTTTGACAGGTATCTGAAAAGGGTTCTCTCACAGCTGATGAGTTTGCTAAGCTGGTGGGGATGTCTGTTCTCTTAGCCAAAGAAAGGTAAGTAATAATTGCTGTGTTCAATATCTTTGTTATTGTGTTGTCCTCAAGTAATAGAGCATGTCTTCTTTTGCTTTCTCTAGGCTGCTTCTTGCTGAAAAGATGGGCCATCTTTGCAGAGATGATTCAGTGGAAGGCTTGAGATTCTACCCAAATTTGTTTATGACACAAAGCTAATGTATTTTGTATACAATTTGTTATGTAACAGTTGAACAAGAGAGCAGAGGGCAGAACCCTTCCAACAATTGACTTCAAATTTTTTATTCTGTTAGTCAACTGCAAGAGTGATGAACATTGCAATGCTTTACAGTTCTCAGGTATTTCAAGTGCTGACTCCTCTTACGTGGAACTGAAAGGAAATAGGAATTACTAAGTCAGAAGCATGTTAATTGTCTCACGCTGGCTGACTCAAGTTTCAATTTTTATTTGATGTGCTCTGTAGTTTCTCATTTCAACAGAAATCAGATGAAGATTCCACACAAATGAAAGTGGAGAGAATATCCCTGTAGTCTGCCATGAGGGTTGGCACCCAGAAGACAGGTTACTGCATACTCCAGTTTGTTTATGTCTAGAGCAACAAAGCAGACAGATGTATCCGTAGTGATAAGAAAAATTGCTTTGGTGTGTACTGAGGTATAAGGAACAAACCAGTGTAGAATAAACCCTTCTCCCTGAAGTGATGAACAGTTTTCTAAGAGACGATCATGGGGTTCTTGTACTTTGAAACAGAATGAACCTGCTGCAGGAGAGATTTAACATATGTTATCTGAATCTAGAAAAAACACTGTTTATTTTGTCATGTCTTATGCAAATATCTCAGATAGAAGCATTGTTAGCACCAACTTCCTCCCTTCTCTTTCCTTGCCATCTTCCTTCCTGTCTCATTACATTGCACTTTGGGTGCCCTTTCTCTGTCCTTGCTTGACATAGAGAGTGGAGTAGCAGCCTCCTGTCACTCCACCAGACTCTGTGCTTTAATATGCTTGGGTTTTGTCATGTACTTCTAATGAAAGATCATTTGTTTGTTTCATCGGCCTGTTACCTGTTTTGGAGAGACAGTTCATTTGCTTATATCTCATATGCAAAAATTAATATGCTTTCAGTATTGAAGGGAAGAAGAAGACTATCACCCTTGTGTTTAATAGTCATGAGGTATCATTTTGTTTGGTATTCCTCACCCTATGTTCACACTGAATGCAATTTGATAGTCTCAGTTTTCATAACTCCAGTGGAGTTGTTACATTACTTGAAGATCTGTTGTCATAGTAATAATGGTAAGTGGATGTTTATGATCCACATCACTTAAATTTTTGGCATTTTGAAGTAATCAGTTTTAATAAATAACAAAACTCCTTCAAGGTATGGGCAAGGATAACATATAAGTAACTGCATTGTGATTGTAATGGCCAAATTGACATTACGAAAAAGGAGAAGGTGGCTTTTAAGAGCCTGAATATGTTTTCAGAACTATTTCAATGTTACCGTAGCTTAAACAAGGGTTAAGAGCCTGTCAATAAGGAGTTCAGTGCAGAGATCCCTACAGTGATGATGGGTTTGCTTCATAGGATGCTCACTTAGATCCCAGGGAGTTATGTCCTCTTATCCTTGTCATGAGCAAACTTTTATGCAGTGCTTTCTTTAGGGCAGTTTTCCTCTGTTTCACGAAGGTGCTAAAACTAAAGTATTTGACACAGCTGAAGGAGCTGGTTCCACACTATTCTTACTGTGTTAACCATCTAGTATCATCTATCAGGAGCCTTACAGCTTGCTGCTTTTCTTTATCCTCCTCACAACCCACAGAAGAGATCTGTGTGAGTTATGCTAAGCATCATGCATCTAAGGAGGGACTGAAAAGTGAGAAATTCAGAAGCAAAAAGCTGTTTTGTGACAGCTGTTTCTTTTGCCTGATACCCAAACCTGTCAAGGGAGACCAGTGGTTTATGGGCCTGAACCTCTCCCCACAAGGGGGCATGTCTTCTGCAGAAAGAAGAAAAACAGAAAGGAAATGCCAAGTGGAAACTCCCAGCCTCCGTTGCTCCAGCCCCCTGGGTATTTCATTATCTTAATTAAGCAATAACAGTACAGCCTATTTAGAATGATGGCACCTTCTCAAGCTTTTCTTTCCCAAGATTTTCCCTTGACTTTTGTTTTTAATCTACAGGGAAGAAATCTGTAGGGTAAACTGTATAGCTGGTTTAGAATTTAAACATGCACATGAGAAGATGACTACTAGAAACTAATAAAAATGAAAAGATTTTCTTAAATAGACTGTTCTGTTGTCTTTTTTTCTTCCTAAATGTTTTGGGCAGCTTTAAAATCTTTACACATCAAAATCTTGTGATTCAGTGGGGCAGGTTTTTAAAGCCCTTCATATTTTAGCTGTCTCATTTTGTACCTAAAAGGGTATAAGTTAGTTTTGGTTTAACATTGAAAGGTAGAATTAAATGTAATAAGAATGCCCTGGTTCTGTTGCTGACCCTGCAGCTTGTGACCCATCCCCAGCCAGAATCGCAAAACTCTGCATGTCTACACAAGCACCAGTTTCGTGAGGGAACCAGGCTGAGTCCGAGCCATGCATACATCCTGTGCTACCATTGGAAAGGCATTTGGCACCTTTGAACATGAAGCTGAAAACCGGAACTCATATGTTGGATACAATCCTGAGAGCCAGCTGTTGGGCAAACAAATGAAGTGACATGTTCACGAGTGCATGGTGTCATGGTAATACCTCACACTGTCCTAAACTGTCATTGCCCAGTCCCTTGGTACTACCAGCAAAAGAACCTATTGTCTGTATTGAAGCAGGATTATAGGAGAGAGGAAAACATAGGAGTTGCCATTCTCACAGATCATTCTAGTTTAATACAGAAGGTACCTATGTGAACCTTTCATGTTTTGATTATTCCTAGAATATTTGTATCATGATACATGAACATTATCTCATTTTGCCAGGGCTGCCCAATTATACAGTCCTTTGAACAGAGGTTTGTAACAGGGGTTTGTTCAAAAAAGGCTCGTTTTTCTATGGAGCAGTCTTAAATGATGATTATGTTTTTCATTTGAAAAAACAGGCCTTTTTATACCTCTGACAGGAAAAGAATGCTGCTCGGGGATCTGTACGTCTGTTCCATTTCTCATTTGCCTTTGTTTTCAGGGAAATTATATTCAGCCTATGGAAACATGGATCTAATCTGAACTGTATTTCTGAAGTTCAAACATTATTTTTCTCTGAAAGATAAATATGTATGTATGTGTATTTGGAAGTCTTCAGAAATGTATCTTTAATAATCACTGCTGGCTGCATAATGATTAGCAAAACTAATGCTCGGTTCTTCTAACGGGACTTTTAGTTTGTCCAAAGGACCTAACTCTGCTTTTTGGGAGTATTGTCACTGAATTCATGACAACAATAGTGGAAGACAGCAGGACCCTGTTCCTGACAGTAGAAGTTCTTGCTTCCTCAAGCCTGGGAACTGGACAGTTCTCTCAAAATACACACTGTACAGGCAGGAATGGCTGATTCAAAATTATTTGTAGTTTTCATATGAAATCATTGTTTTCTTTGGGATGAACCCCCTCCAATGTTTTGTTTTTGTTTTTTTTTTTTTCGGAGCTAGATTCACAAATCTGACAACTGCATTGTTTATCTTATTCCAGCAGTTCCCATTTCATCCTAATTCTCATTGCTTCAGGCATTCATGTGAAATGCGAGACACTCTGGTTCCAGGTCATCTTCTGTTGGGAAGACTTCAACTATCATTTTGTTTTCCCAAGAATGAGCTGCAGGTACTCATGCTATGAGTACATTCTGGGCACGTCTGTTGGCAACATTCATCTTTATTTTAAGGAAATATTTAAATACTTTTTGGAGCAGAGGTCCAAGTGTTATATCTGACAGGTAGCTGTCCTGGCCAGCAGGCTTGAGAGTAATTTTTCTTTGCGGTTTAGAATTAAAGTATTATACAAATATTTTAAAAACCACAAAAACTTCAGGAGTGAGGAAACCTCAGTTTCAGAAAAACCCATAGCCTGCTAGTTAGCACACACTCGTGAGAGGTAGACTTGACAGAAACCATCCTGCTTCATATCCCTGCTCCAGACCAAAGACCAGGTAGGATTCTGGTCTCCTGCTTTCCCACTGGACTGTGAATGCTGTGACTTCAAATTCCCACTGATTAAATTGAACCCTGCTCTGCCATGCTCACAGCAGTGATGGATACCACATTCAAGGTAAAAGGAGTTGGTACTGCTGGAATAGTCACAGAACTTTTGTGAATGTAGTCCTCCTCTGAGCATAAGGCTCAAACTATTTAGACATTTTGCATTGTTTTCTTCAATTCAAAGTATTCTCTGTACTTGGAGGGTTTCACGATGATAATTCATCATCTGCTATCTCAGTAAGTAAAGAAGGGGACTGATATAATCTAAATGCTGTTTAGCAGTCAAACAAATCAATGCTCCTGTGTCCCTCGCTTCATACATGCAGAAAAATCCCAGAAACTCGAAGACAGGACTTTTTATTTTCTTTTAATCAAAAAATTTGCAGGAGGATACATGCTGTGTGAAGCACTCTCTTATAAAAAAAAAAATAAAAATAAAGGCAGCACAGTTGCACAGAATAATTTTCTGTCTGTTGCTGGTATGGCATTTGTACTCTGGCTATTTCATGATTCACTTCATGTAGATAGAATTCTTTTCAAATGTTGCCTAAATATAACAGGATTTGACACAGTATATGAGAAACGTCTGTTCTTTCAGCCAGACTCAGCAGTTTGTGTGTGGCATAATTCCCCTGAGTTTCACTACACATGGGATGGAGAATTTGAGGTGTGTCACAAAATTGCAAAGATACTTTGGTTTGATCCACCCATTAAATGAGAATGGCAAAACTCCCACCGACTTCAAACCCAACCTTTGTTACAATTATCAAATGCTGACTAGTTAACAGTTCTGAAAATAGGTGTATTGGGTATGGCTGAGCTCTGACAGCAAGAAGGAAGAGTTTAAAAGATGTTCTGGAATAAGATCACAAAATGTTTTGGTCTCTTCAGTAGAAATACCAAACTTGGCACAACAGTTGCAAAGTGACTATTTCTGATCTTTCTGCATTCCTATTGTTTTTCCACAGTGTTTTGGGAAAGCCAGAGATAAGGATTTTTATTTTTTTTTCCTCTGGGACTCCAATCTATTTATAGGTTACAAGGCCAGATGAGACTAGTACAACCATCTCGCTTGACCTCTTGGGCAACAGAAGCTGTAGGACTTCCCTTACTTAATTTGTATTTGAAGTAGAACTCTTCTTTCAGGAACAACAAAAGATTGCAACTTTTGGGAAATCCCACCGCAGCTTTTGGCAAATTACTCCAATGACGATTACCTGTTGTAAAAATGCTTTCAGTGTATGTAATCAGTTTGTTTAGCTTCAGTTTCTAGCTAATAGACCTTATATTTAATAAGCCCTCTATTAAGGGTGAGTTCTCTTCATACCAGGTGTCTTGGAATGTAACTGTTTCTTAAATAGATAAATCATTTGGAGTCCTTCTGCCTATCACATTGTCCTACTTTTTTGCTCTTTCCAAGGTCTTCTGTAGTTACCTAATAGCCACCCTAAATTATGAATACCAGCACTGGACCCATAAAAGCTATTGCAAAAGTACTAATTGCAGAGGTAATTTGTTTCCCCAGTTTTTATACTGCCAGCCATCGCATGCAGACAGCATGCCGACGCTATCAAACATGTGCTTGAAGCTATGTTTGTGCTCAGTTCACTCCCCATCGACATAGCTCAGATGCAAATGTGACTTACATGTCTGACTTCTGCTGGACTCTCATTCCTGTGGGTCTCTTAAGACAGAGGGAAAGTGGGGTTTGAGGGTGGTCTCCTGTAAAACTGCACAGGGCTAAATGCACTGCAGCCTGGTTTCCCGGTGGGTGTCCAAAGCTAGACTTTTCCTAAGCACAGTATAAAAACTAAGCCTGAACCACAGTGGGGTTATTAACCAACAGCATAGATGGAAAGACTCAAGGCTTCATCTGATTAAGCTGGCCCTGCAGCTTCCCCGGCAGCTTACAGATGCGTTCCTGCTTCCTCAGGGGTTGTGCTTCATGCTATGGTTGTGTGATTATTTCTCATAGTGACAGATAAATTTCGCTTAATCATCTCTTTATTTTGATAAGATATCAATGATAACTACTCTCTCCCCAATTTTAAGTTTTATGTTTCCTCATAGTGATTTGATGGAGGTCATATTTCTTGCGCTTGGTCATAATACTTTCAGGTGGGATAGTGGCAAAAGACTTGTAAAAGTAAGGTGACATTTTTCTCTGCTCAAAACCTGAGCAGCAGCATGAACTAATTGATGTGACAACTGGGAGCTCAAGATTAGCTAACAACTCAGTATGATCCCAAGGTCTTTGTAAT